GTCCAACTTATATGCTTCTGCTGGCAAATGGAGTGATGCTTTAAGAGTCAGAACTATGATGAAGGAGAGAGGGGTCATGAAGCAACCAGGATGCAGTTGGGTAATTCTGAAAGGACAGAGACACGAATTTCTTTCTGGAGATAGTTTCCATCCTCATAGTGAAAAAATACGTGGAAAGTTGGAGTGGTTGAGTGGGAAGTTGAAGGAAGTTGGTTATGTTCCTGACCAAAGGTTTGCTTTACATGACGTTGAGGATGAACAGAAGGAAGAGATGCTGTGGCATCACAGTGAGAGGCTAGCTATTGGATTTGCACTGGTCAATACTGTTGAAGGAACTAGTATAATAGTGATGAAGAACATTCGTGTATGTGGGGATTGTCATTCTGCCATAAAACTTATTGCCAAGATTGTTGGTCGTGAGATTGTGGTGCGAGATTCTAGCCGTTTTCATCATTTCAAGGATGGTAGATGCTCTTGTGGGGATTATTGGTAGCAATGTACTGGCTTTACCTGTGGCCAAGAGCTGTTAGCTCAATCTGCAAATCTTAATCTTCAAAAAGGAAGACATTTGGGTTGCATGAAAATACAATTCATCAAAAGGGTGATCTTGGTATTTTGACTAATGTTCAAGGACTGGTACAGACAGGGAACTGACATGGAGGTGAACTAGGTTCCTCCGTGAAGGATCAAGATAGTGCCAAGAAAATGTGGTTATTATGATGAAGGTGAGGGTTTGAAAAAGAGAAAAAGTATCAGCCATTTGAACTCGAAAATCCAGCTCTATGGCTTCCTAGTTAAGTTCATGATCTTGTTTTCTCCATATAAAAAAGAATTACTGAAGTTGCAGGATTTACTCAAGTTGCACAGGTTGATCATGAAAAGAATTTTACACGGACCTGCAAGTTTATTCCTCTTCTGAAAATGATGAACAGCAAACTAAGAGATTTTAGGAGGTGAGAGTTGATGATAATGAAATAATCAAGGCAACCAATCCTACGAAACCCGACTGATAAGCTTTCTTCCCATCTGTTTTCTGGAAAATGTTGTAAATCTGCAATGGGTAGTGAAGCATTCTGACCCACTGAAACATTGAGGGAGTAGTCATAAGCTCTGCGAATTCTTGGGTTGAACAGTGTTAAAATGAAACTAAAGAGATAGATAGAAGTGAAGACAATCAGGTTTTCTAGTAGTTGGATGTGTATGAAGGTTTCGACAAAGTAAAAGTGGACTGGCAGATTATGAACTATAATACCTTAAATTAATTTTTAATATAATTTAAGATTTATTTATAAATGTAATTTCTTAATTTTTTAATTTTTTAATTTTAATTTAAAATAAAAATGAAGTAAAATTTATAAAAGATTAAATTGAAAACAATTTTATAAAAAAAGAGTAAAAATTTGGGTTCTATTGGTATTTTTGAAAGAAAAATTAAAAATTGGGAGTCAAAATGTAATTTAGAGAAGTTTTGCTCTGTAGGATGCCCGGTCAGCAATCCTGAAGAATCAGGACGCGCTGCGTGGCAGCGGACGCTGATGCGGTGTCACGTAGGAGGCCACACGCGTGATTCGCGTGCCTGCGATCGAACAGTTTAGATCCGTTCCTGCGCACACTGACGGTCTGGATGCGTTATCTTCCCAAATACGATCGGACGGTCAGATTTAAACGCGATCAGACAGCCCATATTAGATTGCGATAAATGATTCAGATTAGATCGCGATGAACGGTACATATTCACTTCCTATTTAATCACGATTGGATGGTTCAAATCAAACGCAATGGATGACCCAGATTAAATACAAACGGATATAAATAATCATCATTCACACCAAACCCTAACCTTAGCCGCCAGACCCCCTCACCGGAGAAGAAGACCCAGCCGCTGAGAAGGAGACCGCCGCCACCTGACGTCGCACTGGAGAGCTTTCCGATTGTCCATAATATATTTCATGTGTCCATTCTACGCAAGTACAACTCGGACCCTCTCACGTCTTGGCCCACAAGCCTCTTTCTTTCAGTAGGATCTGTCTTATGAAGAAGTACCGGTCGGCATTGTGGACAGAAAGAACAGATTACTCCGAAACTAGAAAATTTCATTTGTTAAGGTCCTATGACAAAATCACATACCGAGAGAGGCCACATGGGAGCTAAAATCAGACTTCAAAGTCAAATATCCCAGCTGTTTGATTGAGAGTGAGAGAAACAAATTTGAGGAACCAAATTTCTTTTAAGGAATGAGAGTTGTAATACCATAAATTAAAGTTTAATTAACAATAAATACAGTATTTTGTACAATTTAGAAAATTTTCATAATTAATTACGGATTATTAATGGAGGCAGAATCAGGTCAGACCTCCTGTCTAGGGCATAGCTTACAATCTCACACAGTAGGATGAAGAAGTCAACCCGGACATGGTACAAGATATGTACACTATCTGTAACCATTTTACTCATATTTTGATTGATACTGGTGCATCACATTCATTTGTTTCACATGTTTTTACATCAAAATTAAATATACTGCCTGAAAAACTTGATTATGTGTTGTTTGTGTCTACTCTTGGGAGTAGGACAATATAGTGCCAGTCTGTAGGCGACGGTACCAATTCTGTTTAAGATTTATAATGGTCCAATAAATCGGGGATTTAGTTTTCTCCTCTTGTCGAACTTACTGATTCTTTTCAAATGAGTGACCTTAAGAAATACCCGATTACTTTTCTCAAATTCCAAATCTCTCATCGGGGTGTCTGCATAACTCTTTTGCCTATTTTGAGTCGTCTGAATGTTCTTCCTTATTTTAATTATTTTGGTTGTAGTCTCCTCTACCAGATCTACATCGAACAGTTTTCTGTCACCTACTTCTTCCCAACAAATCAGGGATCTGCATGGGCGCCCATATAACGTCTCATACGGAGCCATGCTAATACTTGTTTGGTAGCTGTTGTTATAGGCGAACTCTATTAGAGGTAGATGGTTATCCCAATGTCCCCCAAAGTCAAGAACACATGCTCGGAGCATATCTTCAAGTGTGGGAATTGTCCTTTCTGACTGTCCATCGGTTTGAGGGTGGAATGCAATACTAATGGCACAGTTTCGTTCCCATGACTTGTTGAAGGCTAGACCAAAATCGAGAAGTGAACTTGGGGTCCCTGTCAGACACTACTGTCACTAGCACTCCATGTAATCTGACTATTTTCGGGATATACATTATTGTCAACTTGTCTAAGGAATCGGTCATACTTATGGCCAAGAAATGGGAAGACTTGGTAAGCCGGTCAATAATTACCCAGATGGCATCATGTCTTGAGCGTGCCTTAGGTAATCTTGTCACGAAGTTCGTGGTGATATGTTCCCACTTCTACTCCGATATTGGTAATGGCTGAAATAGCCTACTTGGGCGTTGATGTTCTGCCTTGACCTGCTAACATACCAA